CCTGCGTGGTGTTTAAATCAAATTAAACACATCTCTCTCCTCGATCATCCATCTCTTAGGGTGAAACTTTCTAAGCATTTTTCTGGAGCTTTCTGAAGTCTGCAGTTCATTGCTGTCATCTATTGCTGCCCTCCTGCACAACAGCATACCCAAACCCAGAACATCTTGCTCTTATCTAACTGTAGTTTAGTATCTATCCATCAACTCTTCAGGATCTCTCCCTCCCCCATGCTTCCCAGCCTCCTGTAACCACCATTCAGTCTAAAAGGACAACACCAAGAAGTCAATAAAAAGCTGCAAAAGAGCAGAGAGATAAAGAAAAGGAAACAAATGCTTGGCCAGTCCTTTAAATCATAGGAGATTTTTCCGAATAACCCTTCCTTTAAAACTCAGGGGACTATCACACAGCCAAGGGGATAACCCACCAACTGACCTTACCTGTGTGTGATTGAGGGGGCTGGTAGCTGTAGGGTTGGGACATAACCCAATTTTATGTAAAACAGCAAATATCACTGATAAGATTTTTAATGAGGATGAGTTTTTATGTCCTACAGAGCTAAGTAAATTATGCCTGGGTTGGCTTTGGGTGCAGCGACCTGGATTCTGATAACTTTTCCTCTTTGCTTAGTGTCATCTGCAAAGAAATCCCTATACTTGAAAGTCATAATAGTGCCGCAATTAAAAAAAAAAATCTAAGGATGACAAAGAAATAAAAGTTTCTCTTTCCCCTCCTCCGAGGAATCCTCTGAGCACTCCTCTGAGCTCTCATAAATTCTGGACTCTTACAGAGAAGTTGAAGAACAGTGAGTTTGTGTGAGTGCACAGTGTGTATATGGTGGGCATGTGTGTTTGTGTTTATTGTGGAAAGGTCTAATGGAAAGTTCCTGAATTCTCTCATTTCCTCAGAAAAGTAATCATTTTCCACACATTCACTAGCTTTAGAACAATACTGCCTTAAATTTCTTCATCTGAAATGCTGCTCTCTGGTGTGAAAAACTATAATAGAACATAAGATCCTAATGAGATAATTGACAATGTGAAATAGGAAGAAAAGGGCTAAAGGTGTAGGGAAAGTGGGAAGCGTAGAGGAAAGGTAATAAGGGAAAAGAAAAATATGAAAAAATGGAAATAAAGTGTTCGTAAATGGGGAGGGTAGGAGGGGATGAAGGGAAGGCAGGGACAAGGGGAAAAAATGAGAACCAAGACCTGTCATGTAAAGGTACAAGATCCCAATGATGAATGTAACTGTACTGTATGCCTAAGATGTACCAATAAACTCAATGAGAGGAAAACAAAAAATGCTGCTCTCTTTCATTCTCCCATCCAAGTTCTGAGACAGCCCCAGGATGGAAATAGTGCCCACACTGCCAAGCACTTCTTGACCACAGAGGCTGGATGAAGAAACTAACATGTTTTGTTTTGGTTTGGTTTTTGATTTTTGGGGGGGTTTTTTTTGTTTTGTTTTTTGGTACTGGGAATCAAATTCAGGTCCTTATGCTTGCGAGGCAGGCGGCAGAACCACTGAGCTAAATCCCCAACCCTAACATCTTTTCATTAAACTCATTAATTTCTGTGTTTCAACAATGGAGTATTCCTGGGTCTATTATAAAGCACTACACCTCACCCAAATTTTATATATTAGCATCAAAATAAACAGACAAAAACTTAAAATTCGTGCACCAGTAAAGGATACTACTAAAGACCTGTGGACTATATCCACCCATACAGTAAATTATGACCTGCTAGCTGCTTATTGGTTTTACAAGGGGTTTGCTGCTATTTCCTCGGGAAAAGGTGAAAACTGAAAGATCCTGATGGAGCGGAACCTCTGTTGCTGACCTCTGTCACCAGCTACCAAGCTGGAGCTAATAAGGGGCAGGATGGTGATGCCCAAGATACTCCCATTCTCCTTCTTTCTGCCACAACAGCCCACTAGTCAGCAAGCAAATTGGCTCCACCAATCTACTCTTCATAGAGTAACAGGCAGTATTTGGTTCTCTCCTTTGTATGGCTGGTAAAAAGCTAAATAATAGGTTCAAGTTTACACAACTCATTAATGGCAAAAAGAGAAGGACACATATCTCATATCAATTTGACACTATTTGTGCATTTATTTTGGGAAATATTTAGTTGGCAGTGGCTCCCAACATTTTAGCTTTTCAACTGTTCTGTCAGTTGATTGACAATCGCAAACTGTGATGGGCAAGACGGGCTGCTGAGCGTTTGAAGCACAGCTAATCCAACCTGAAATGCCCTGTAAGTATGAGACTTAGTATGGGAAGGAGGAGGAAATATCTTATCGGTGTCACGTATTGATTACATCTTTAAATGGCTATTGGCTTTTCTTTTATCTTGGTGCTCTCTTGCAGCCTTTTACTGGGTTTATGTAGGGCTACAGAAAATATACTTTTAAATTAATTTCACCTGTTTTACTTTTCTTGTGTGACTCATGGGACATTTTAAATTATGCATGTGGCTCACACATTTTCCTTCCACTGGACAGCGCTGCTCTATAGAACACTTTGCTGCACTAAAGCCAGAGATACAAGGACTTTCTTTTCTGAATTTACAGTGGTGACAGCCAGGAAGAGAACAAAAGAACATTTATTCCAAGTACTTTAAAGACTTCTTACCTGGTTAATGAAAGGCTTCCGTGCCACAAGATTAAAATGAAAACATTATATGAGGGGAAAAAATGAGAACCAAGACCTGGCATGTAAAGGTACAAGATCCCAGTAATGAATGTAACTGTACTGTCTACCTAGAATGTACCAATAAATTCAATTTTAAAAATTATGTGAAAACAATTAAATACTTTAAAAATCATCCTTAAATACGCACGCATGTCAAAAAATTTAACTTCTAAAAGAACATCAGCAATTTAACAATCCAAAAACCATCATCTTCCCTTTTGATTAAGAGCAGCTGTTTTCCTGGGGAAATCATAGTCAAAACCAATTAATACCATAGAAATCAGTTCAACCCTGAAAGAGACATCTGTCCACAGTCAATACTGTGACCAGAGAGACAGATGATCGGTAGACTGAGCCAGTCCCCTTCCTGAGTGACAACAGGAGGTACTGGCTGAGTTAAAACTTATAGGCCAGCACTTTTTCTCTCAAAACCTCCAGCAGGCAGGCGGCCCGGCAGCGCCCCCCCGACACACACACCTGAGGCAACCAACTGCTCCTCTTTGGCACAAAGAAATTCTTAGGTGCAGGAATACACGGCTTTCATTTTGCCTCAAAAATCAGTAGGTTAATTTTCAAAATCTCAACCATAGCATCAAAATGAGAAGAATGAGCAATACACTGTTATTATCACAGGTCTAATTTCTTTCTGATAAAAGAATCCCCATTATTTTTCAAACATGTTCACCATTTAGTGAGATGTGCATCGTGTACCGCTGAAATCATCTATTTCTAATGGAGCGAGGCATCTGTGCGGTGTGCAGGGTAGGACTGACACTCGAGGATGGAAAGCTCCCCTCAGCCCTTCCCGAGCTGAAATGGCTCTGCTGCAGCCGCTGAGAAATGCTTCCAGAGCTCCGGCTTCAATCTGTGTGTTTTCTGATTCTCTTTTTAGGAACAACTCTGTTAAAAGCAGTAATAAGAGTGGATTCTGGAGACTCCTACCATGGCCCTCCACACATAATTCCCATGTGCAGGAAGAAGTGAGCAGCTCTCTGTGCCTTGGTACAGGGAGCAATCGCCCCCGCCCCCGCCCCCCTCCTTCCTTGTGTTCACGGGGAAATATGGCCCCAGAACAAAACAGGATGCACAGGTTGCCTTGCTATCCTATCTTCTACTTCCATAAGATGAACAGGGGTCTTCCTGAACCTCTGCATAGCCAGGGATAGGCTGGGTAGAATTGTGCACAATTTGCGATTTCAGGCAATAATAAAAACAACAACAAAAAAATAGTATGATTCCCTTACAAATATGTTAAATTTATTCTAATTTTAACCTCCTCTTGTCTCTCCCTCCCACTCCACCTCTTCCAATCCAAATGCTCCTGGAAAAGAAGCACATTTAGACTGATTTGGATATAAAATACCCCAGGCTTTTACTGTTACCTAGAATATATCCCTGAGAAATAATGTTTTCAAAGTTATTTTTCAAGCCAACCCAGAAAAGTTCTGATGCGGTATACCAGATTCTTACGGGCAGGGCGAGTCCGTTTGAAAGATAACCAGGGGAGAAAAAAGAAAGAAAGATACCCAGGGCCACCGCTACGGAAAAATTCCTCAGGAATGCAGGCTGTGCAAGGTGGGACCTGAATTCCGCCACTGAGCGGGAACACATGATCCCTGGGCTCCTAGTTTAGAAGTCTCCCAAGCCCCCCTAGAAAGCAGATGGGAGTTTTAAGGGGGAAGGAGCATTCTTGGGAGCCAGTGATGCACGGATAACCGCACCGCCTGTGGCCCGCTACTCCGCAGGCTCGTCCGGGGCACGGCAGCCCCGTCACTGAGGGAACCACAGCCTGACAACCAAGCTCCGGATCGGCGCCTTGCCTATCCTCCACTGGCACAAGGCGGAAACGCAAAGGAGCACCGTTCTTCAAACAGAGAAATAAAATATCAAGACCGATCTCCCCCGGCCCAGGAAGACAGGAAGTGTAGGGCTGGATGGAGAATGCAAGCACGCTGATCCCGAAAGGCAAGCAGCCTTCAACGTGCTGTGCATGTTTCTCTCTTTGGACCACATCTCTGAATGACTGTGTAAATCCATCAAATCCACTTCCACTCCACAAAAACACCTGCAACCACAGAATTTTCCCAAACGGCTTTGGAAGGAATCCCTAGTAATTGAGGAAGATCCCCCCGAGGCGAGCCTGGTGCTCTCCCACCCCGAAATGGATGCAGAAATGCAGCCCGCTTGCCTCCCGCCAACTCCAGCTCTACCGCCTCGCCGTCCCCTCCCAGGGTTAAGGAACAAAGCTGCCCGCCGCCCTACCCCGGGCGCACGCGGCCCGGCCCCGCGAAGGAGGGAGGTGGTTACCTGGGGAGAACACGCTCTGCTGGCGGGGCAGCTCTGGCTCGGCTCGCACAGGACCGCGGCAGGCTCCGGG